GGGCTGGGGATTCGAACCCGCCACCTTAGGTGTACGTGGCTGGCGCCTAAGCCGGTTGAGCCACAGGCGCCGAGCCAAGTAATAAACTCTTAACATCACAAAACTGGTAGGAGTTTATTTCTGAACTCCCGTCTTGTTCCAAATTTTTTTCCTTTACTTAGTCTACAACACGCCCTCATTTGAGTATCATTTCTTTCTGCATGTGTAGAAATAAATATTCTTGCTGTGAAAATTCTAGCTAAGAAAATGACAATAGTACCTTTGAAAAATTCTAAATCAGAACTCATTTATAGTGGGAAATTCTTAATTGCAATTACCTAATATAAATATAAATGTCTTAATATAATAATTAATAAATGAAATGAGGTATATATTAACCAGTGTGATGTAAGCATTCCTAATTCTTTATGAAATCAGCACACTGTACCCCATAAATCCATTAATGTATACATGATCTATGTGTTTATGATTTAGTGAAAAATAAAATAAAATACATATACATAAGTATACCCGTAGATATAACATGTACATGACATCTAAAGGTAATTAAGTGACCTCTACATAGTGGAAAGACTACGGTAATATTTTTTTCTCAGCCTACCTCTAGGTCATGCGATATTCTCTGTGTGACTCTACTATGTGTTTCATAATACTGTTTCTTACAAACTGGACATTTAGAGTTCTATGGATATAATAATAAGGTTGGAACAGGAATGGATTTCACGTTAGTCTAACTTCCTATTCAATGCAAAGGGTTCTGAACAAAGTTGTTATAACTCAATTTTTCCCACAAACCAATAAAATTGGTTTTGAATTTGTTATTATTTTTAATCTATTTAATAAAGTGATGTGTTTATGGCTAAGATCAAAAAAGAATTTAAGAAAGGATTTTAAATTAACTTAAAATATTCCCTGTAACTGGAGCTATCTGAAATTAGAATGACCTACCTATTGTAGGTGACCACATAACGTATTCAAGCAGCGGCACAGTTACCACGGTTGAGTCAGAGGGAAGTCGTCCAACACTTTTGCATGTGTATAGTGATCACTCATCCTGTAAATACTATGTAGCAGAGGACACCAAGTTTAAAATAAATAGGCTCTGCCTTCTGGCATCTCTATGTATTGATAATGGTGAGCCAATAATGAAGACTATAACATCACTGGTCTTGTGGGAAGTATATTCAATATAAGGAATCAATGTAGAAAAAGGATTTCTGTTTGTTTGTTTTTTAAGTGCTATATGAGGGTGAAGTCACTTAGTAAATTATGGAAAAATTAAAATAAGACGTATACCTGGCTGGACATGGTAGTTCATGCCTGTAATCCTAGCACTATGAGAGGCAGAAGTGGGTGGATATTTTTGTGCTCAGGATTTCAAGACCAGCCTGAGCAAGAGTAAGACACCCCCGCTGCCCGCCATCTCTACTTAAAACAGGAAACAAACTAGCTGGGTGTTGTGGTGGACACCTGTAGTCCCAGCTACTCAGGAGTCTGAGTGAACAGGATCCCTTGAGACCAACAGTTTGAGGTTGTTGTGAGCTGTGATGCCACCCCATCACTCTACACAGGGTGACAGAGTGAGACTCTGTCTCAAATAAAAAATAATAATAATAATAATAGAAGTAA